TCTTACTAAATGTTATATTCATTTCATAAATTTTATGATTTCTATGATTGACCTAATATCTTTAGTTTTAAATTACATACCCTATGTCAATCACCTATTTAGATTAAATTTTAACAATGAATTCTCGTAATTATTTACATTTCTTGTCTTTTTCTTCTTAACTTTTTTGTTGCTGTCAAAAAGGGGAGAAATTATTAGTTTGTGTATGTTTGTGTTTTCTCCTTTTTTAGTTGTTCTGTTTGCAAGTTTTGTGTTAAAATTTAAAAAAAAAAAAAACAAAAATATTGTTCGTTAAATATGTGTCTTTAATAGCCTCCTTTATTTTAATGTACTCATAAATTCAGGGGGAGTTAGGAGATAAAAGATGTGTTTTTAAACTTGAACCATACTAATAAATAATTGTTTGACCATTCATCAAAAAGGGAGAGATTATTTGAATAGTTGTATTTGAATTGAGTTATATTTATGCAACTTATGTAGTTTTGATGATTCCAAATATTGATTGTTCAAATGTATAGTTATCTCCTAACATATCAGAAAGATTTGCACTTGCTCTTGTGTGTACTAACATTTCAGGAAAATCAGACCGCAGACTACGAAAACTTCAATTCAAATTCAACATGAGATATTTTGTTTAATTGAGTTTGTCTTTTCTTTGAATTAAGTTTGAAAGGGAGTGATTGTAATTGTGTGAATAAAATCTCACAACACCACAAATAAGGAGATCTTGAAATTCTATACTGATCGTACAGGACGATATTTTATCGTACTGGACGATCCGTCAGTTATCTCCTATAGAGCACTTGGAGACGAATAGGAACTGCTTTGAAAAATTTCTAAGTCCTATTCGACCAGACCGAAATTTATTATCGTCCCAGGCGATGGGTTCTCCTGTAAATTTTCGTCCAGACGAATTTACCATCGTACGAGGCGACCAGTCCTCCTGGAAAAGATTTTCGAGTCCAACGGAAGGAATAAATATCGTACAGGACGACGTAGCTCTCTGGAAATTTTCGTCCAGACGAAAACAAATATAATCGTTCCGTGGCGATTGGTTCTCTGGAAAAATTTCATCGAGAAAATAAATAATCTGTCCGACGATCGGTCCTTGGAAATTTTCGTCCAGAAGAATCACATTTTTGTTCAAACGATAAACCGACTTAGAACAGTTTTCAGCAGTTTCTAGAACCGACCTTGTAATAACCGTTCGTTACTGGACGAACCAAGTCGTAACAGGACGATTCAGAGCTGCTACGGAAGTCAGTTCGTACATGCTCCCTGATACCATAACTATGGGGTCGTTTCAGATCGTTTAAGTAAAATCGTCCAGGACGATCAGGAATCGTATAGGACGATCACTGCGTACAGAAATTGAAAATTTGCAGTTTTTGCGGCGGTTTCACTGTGTCTTTTATATAAATTAAGTCCAATCGTTAGAACTGCGCACCCACATCTCTCTTTTTGTCATGGACTCTTACGTGCCTCTCTTGAGAGAATAGGCTCGACGAGGAGAGGTGAGAGAGTTTGCATCCAAAAGACCACCAGGCTACTTTGGAAGGCAGAGAAGGCTTCACTTGGATATGCTAAAGTAAGAGTCTCTTACTGTGTGAATATGGATTTCTTCACTCTTTTTTTGTCTTCACTCTATGAGTTCATTTGCCAGAGTTCATTTCGACAGACAGGGATTCCGGTTCTCTGCACCGACACTTGGAGAGTGTGAACAGACGAGGGTACTCTCCGCGCCGCACTTGGAGAAGTGTGAACAGACGAGGTTCTCTCCCCACTAGGAGAGTGTGTTAAGGAAGAAGGTTCTCTGCCTACACTTGGAGAGTGTGAACAGCCGTAGGGTTCTCTTGCCCACAACTAGGAGTTGTCGAAAGGACGACGGTTCTCTGCGCCGCACGTCGGGTAGTGGTGAAAAAGCAGTGTTTTTGTAAACAGGCTTCTCCGCCTTTCTGTGGGTGCTAAAGGAGAGTCACCTTTTGTGGTATTAGTGCCAATACTCAGAGGGTGCCCTCCTGAGGAGTAGGATGTAGGTCTGGTTTATAGACCGAACCACTATAATCTGGTGTAACATTTACTTTTAGCTATTTACGTTTTCCGCACTATATAAATTTCATTTTTAATAACTCTGTGGTTGAAAACATTTTCTACTAACATTTTAAAGAAAATTTTTCGGTTCAACTTTTATATTGAGGTTTAAGGATAATTAGAAGAACCATAGGTTATCCAGTCATACATCAGATTTTAAAAACTACCAATTCACCCCCCTCTTGGTAGCCTTGGGACATTTACTATAGGCTTAACAACTAATTACTGGAACATACAGGATCTAGTCTATAAGAACAAAAAAAATAAAAAGCGCCAATTGATGCAAAATAAATAGATGCGCTAATGACGCCAAATTGAAAAATTTATATACACAAGAAGAGCTGTATAAAACCCTCAAAAAAAATAAAATGCACAAGGAGCGGGCTATTCAAATTGGACAATTAAGCATAAAAATGAGCCCACATAAGACAAGCTTACCCCTCTTTCAAACTTTTAAAATTTTAGAAGAATTCATAGGTTACTTGATATTTTCAAAGGCTTGATTTCAAATACTATGATTGAGACAAATTGCTTTGGTATATTATTCTATAAGTTATTTTTATTTGAAGCAAGTTATGAACGGATCTTCTTTCTTTACAATGAGGTTATTCTGAGTTATGTCTTTTATTTTCAAAAGACAATTTTTGCTCTAAAAGAAGTTCGAGCTAGGGTTAACACGATCAGATATTCTACTATTTTCAGATTTTGACTTTGTTAACTCATTGATCTTTCAAATCTTTAAAATTTAGTTATTTGGACAATTTATCATATGCATGCTTTACTAAAAATTCAAATATATATATATATATATATATATATATATATATTAAAAACAATTTTTTTTTCCTTTCTTTCTCTTTTGTTTGGTTTATGTTTTTGTTGTTGTTTTTAGATTGATTTATTGTTTTTGGGACTTCTCAGATCATCTTCATTTTTTATTTAAACTTCTAATTTTGTCACATCGTCCTCGCTGATATACATATCATCCTGGACTATATGATCAACTCTCATAAAAATCCATTTGCTGGACTTTTCTGACCTTGCTGAACTTCATCGTACCGGACGATCCCATATCGTCCTGGACGATATGATCATCATCTACTTCAATCATCTTGATCATCTTGGCTGATAAAATTTTGTCCTCGCCAATGCTTTTATGAAAATCGTCCTGACCGATACACCTGATCGTCCTGGACGATCCACATGTTAATACGTTTAAAATCTTCAAAATTGCCCGAGACGATCCAATTTTGGACAATCGTCCTGGCCGATCCACTGTTCATCCTGGACGATACACATGGCGCGTGATTTAAAATGTTTTAAACTTGGCCTGTACGATTCATTATTGAGCATCATCCTGGACGATACACCTAATCGGCCTGGACGATCTGCATTTTCAACGGTCGTCCAGCCTAACTCCTCAGGATGATCGTGTGTGTCTAATCATCCCGGCCGATATCTGATCGGCCTGGATGATTGGACCACCTTTTTGACCAATCGGCCTCTACGCAATTAATGAACCTAATCGTCCCAGACAATTCTGCGATCATCCTGAACGATATGGCCGATTCTTTAAATTCAGTCAGATTTCAGTCGTTTTTCTTCACACTTTCTTTTCCTTTGCTTTCTACTCTCTGTTTGCTTGCCATTCCTTACTTATGGATGGCAGAAAGCGCATTCGACAAACCTCTGGAAGCTTTTCAAGGGCCACACTGAACCCTTGATTCAGGGATCACTCAAAGAATGAGGGATCACTCTCTCCAGAATAATCAATCATGTCCACCTCTCATATCCGGTATTAGACCTCTTCACTCACACTTCACTGTGCTTTTCTCTTACTCTCTATGTCCCCTTCTCTTTTGAACTCCTTTTCAATTTTTTTACAAACCTTCGCATAAACTCATCCTACACCGCCCTCACCTCCTATGTGAATCGACGCCCTATAGAGATCACATACCAGGACTGTACTGAACTGTTGCAGCTATCCACCACTAGGGATAAGTTTCATATCATTGTCTCTAATCCTGACTATAATTGGCCCTTTGTAAACCACTTTCTTCACCACACCAATGCCCCCTTTCACGTTGGAGAGACTAGCTCTTTACTATAAGATGCTAGGTTAATCCAACATGTCCTTCGCACTTCTATTATTCCAAAAGCCAGGGACCAAATCCACATCACTCCACTTCTTTCACTTATTACCTTTTGCATCATGGCCCATGGAGAGTTTAATGCTACTGACCTGATCTTTTGATACATTGATCATTAGATAATAATTCGTGATCCAGGTCATAAGAGGAAACCCAATCTTGCTTTAGGACACATCATTTCATATGTTCTTGAAACCAAATACAATCTTCAATATCTTGCTCCACCCAACCATCTGCCTCCTTGCTACTCAACTATTTCCTTCAATGTCCTTCACAGTACTCGTCTCCACCCAGGAGATGGGGAAGCTCAGGGGGCCGAGAAGGAGGCTCTTGCTTCCGTTCCTAAACCCGTTCCTCTCCTCCAGCACTCATAGCTGGATCCGTTGGTGGAGATATTTGATCAGTTAGAGGCCTGGTTTGACACCTTCGTAACTCACCAGCAGCAGCAGCACGATGAGGATGTTGCCCGCCAGCAGCAGCAGCACGACCAGGACATGGCCTGGTTTGGGGCACAATTTGCTTCGCTCTCTTGTTACTTTCAGCAGCCACCACCACCACCTTCGTCTAATGATCATGGTCCCTCATTTTTCTAGTTTTAGCATATATTTTCTATAGTTTATTTTTTCTGTATTGTGTTTTTCTTTTAGTTGTAGTTTCTTTAATTCGTTTTTAGTTTCTTCCTCCTTTTTGAGATGTCAAAAGGGGGAGTAGTATGGTTGTACTTATACTTTTCTGAAATTTGAAAGCTTTCCATATTCTAGTATTGATCGTCAAAGTGTTTTCCATCATAAAAAAGGGGGAGATTGTTGCAAATCTGTTTTCATGAATTATGATTTTGATGTTAACAAACACTCTTGTTTCTCTACGATTGCCTTAGCTACTAACATTTCAGGACCACAAGATCGAACGATAATCAGAACCAGCTCAAGATTAGGTAGACTAGGTCTGAGTTAGTATGTAATTTTCTTCTTCCCTTTCTTGAGTCAATTATAATCTTTGAAGTGTTTTGATGCTAAGTAACCCTACACATACACACTTAAGTGATTTTTCTGTCTGAATTAGAATTTCTGTTTTTATTCACATCGTCCCGGATGATATTATTATCATCCTGGATGATCGGGTTCAAAATAGAAACCCTAATCAGCCATCATAGTTAAGGCAACCATCATTAGCCGATTGGCCTAGATAATACATGTATTGGCCAGGACGATAGGCTTAAAATAGAAAGAATCAGCCACCGTGATCTATTTTGGTATTCTTTATTTTTGGCAATCGGCCAGGATGATCTTGTAATGTCCTAGACGATTTGATACAATTATGCCTAAATTAATCTGGTAATTAAGAAAAGCAATTAAGGATGATTGAAACGATCACATCGCCCTGGATGATCGTAAGATCGGTCGGGATGATCAATTCAAAAAACCTTAGTTGCTCCTGGATGATCAATATTGGATAACTCAAATTCTGGACGATGGTCTGGTCGATTAAGGTTGGCCAGCTCAGATTCCGGGTGATGCCCTGCATGATATGAATAACTTTCGTCTATTCGTCCTAGATCATCCCGGCTAATTAGGCTTAAATTAGATTGATCGTACAGGACGATATACTTATCATCCTGGATGATAATGTAGGTAACTTGTAATTAATGAGCTACTTTGAATCTCTTCTATTTAAAAACTATTGTTCATCATTTTGAACAATCTTTTGCTGCTGTCTAGACCTAAGAAAGCCTAGAGGAGAGAGAGAGAGAGAGGATCTTATGAGGGGGAGCTTGTGAGGGAGATTCCCAAGGGTTGCTCCAAGCATTGTTCCACTTCTTCTTCCACTAGAGTCTCTTTTCCTTGGAAGGGTTGTGAGAGGTAAGCTTCAATGATCGATCAAGGTTCTCTGCCTGCTTAAGGAGGAAGCAAAAGGAGTTGCGTTCTCTGTCTTGCCGAGGGTGAAAAAAAGGAGGTTTTTTAAGGGTTTCTCTGCCTTGCTGTGGGAGCAAAAGGAGAGTCACTTTGGTAGTGCAATACTTGGAGGGCGCCTCCTGGGAGTGGACGTAGGTCTAGTTGACCGAACCACTATAAACCCTTGTATTCTTTTTCCTGCTTCCGCATTTAATTTTTCCATACTTATTTTCCGTGGTGATTTTGGCTTGATCTTTGTTGTGCTTTGGTTTAAAAGATTTTTTTTAAAATACCAATTCAGCCCCCCCCCCCTCTTGGTTATGTTAGTCCTGGACCCCCCCCCCTCTTGGTTAGCCTTGGGCTAGTTCATAAGGGCCTAACATCCCTAACGAACTTTCAAAATTTATATGTGTGTTTCAACTTGTGCAACTTATAAAAAAATTTGGGATAGATTGTGTGTAACTTATGATGGAACTAATGAAGTTAAACAATCTAGGTTGAATATTTTGTTGTATTACTATGAACTTTTTCATATGAAATATTCTGAATCAATTTCTGACATGTATACTAGATTTACTCAAATTATCACCTCATTACATGCTTTAGGAAGAGAGTTAACTAATTATGAAAGGTTCAATAAAATTTTGAGATGCTTGCTTCCTTCTTTTGATGCTAAGATCACTACAATTTTTGAATCTAAAGATTTAAATATTTTTTCTATTGATAAATTACTTGGATCACTCATTGCTTATGACAAAGGGTGAATCAAAGAAATCTTAATGTAGGTGAGCAAAACAAGGAGAAAATTGTGGCGCTGAAGGCCAACAACACAGACACTAATTCTTCCGGGTCTAAAAATGATGATGTTGCCTTCATCACTAAGCAATTTAAAAGCTTTTTAAGGAAGAACAACAAGTATCATTAGAAGTAAAAAAGAGGTAAGGATGACAAAAATTTAAAATGTTCTTTTGATATTATTTATTTTGAATGCAGGAAGCCTGGACATATTAAAGCTGATTGTCCTACACTTAAGGAGCACCCAAGCAAGAAAAAAGGTGAGGAGAAACCCAAATACAGGAAGGACAAGAAGGAACACCAAAAATCTTTCTAAGCGAATTTTGCATCTAACTCATCTGAGACTGAAGCTGAAGAAGAGATAATAAATTTGTGCTTAATGGGTGATCATCTTGGTCAATCTGATCAAGAAGAGGTATGTGAACCAACCTATGATCAATTACTTAAAATTTGTGAGAAAATTCATGCATAATATAAGAAACTTAAGAAATCGCATGTTGGTTTGAAATTGAAGTTTTTGAATTTATAAAAAGAGCATGAAAGTTTAAGTAAAGATCACACTATACTTGATAGCAATCACATATCTTTACTTGATGAATTTGATGATTTAAATCAAAAGCATTTTGATTTAATTGTTGAGCATGATTCTTTGAAAGCATCTTAAACCTCACTTGAATATGATTTTAAAAATTTTATTAAAGAATCTGAGAATAAATAGCACTATTTGAATAATGATAATGCTATTTTAGAAAGTGCTAACTTGAGGTTTAAAGCTATATTGAATACATTTCAGAGAAATTGAAATACATCAACACTTGATCTAAAGAAAAAACTTAGAAAGAGCCATTATAACCCAAACAAATTAGTAAATCCTTTTCCTGGAGTTAGATATTTTTCATATGGCATGCTAGGGCACTTTTCACATACTTGTACTGTTCATTATAGTACACATTGGGTATGGAGACCCAAACTACATGATTCACAATATAACACACATACATTAAATTCTTTTTTTCATAAGAAGAAACCCAAACTTGTTTGGGTTCCTAAATCTAACATTTGATGATTTTTGTAGGTGTGCTCTTACCAATGACCTCATGAGAGCATATGATACTTGAACAACGGAGGCTTGTAGCTCATAATTGTATAAACTTACTACTTAATAAATTCTGAATTGCATGTTTAATACTCTGTTGATTATTATTACTTTTTTGATTTAATTTTTTTATATTTGTTGTTATTTTATAGTTGTTACATTTATGATATTTTTCGTTTTCCCTTTTTTTGTTGAAATGATAGTTTTCCTTGTGTTTGTTTTTTAAAATTTGTAATTAATGTCTAAACTTCCCTAAA